ATTTAAAGCTCTTTTACAAGCTCCGTTATATCAAAGAGTTATTACCCATATATTCCAATGATAATACATATTGTGCATTTCTAAGGTGATTCGAGCTCTGGATCCCAAGCTAAACCCAGCCTCGGCAGAAATTCAGTCACTGAAAGTGCAGCTCTCTGAGAAAGAGAAGAGGATCATTGCTCTGGAGGTAAAGCAGCTATCTCTTCTCTGTTTTACATGTTATTTACATCTAGCAATTTCAGACTTACTTTCTCACTCGCAATTTCATTATTTTTGTTGTTTCTTTCTCTTTTTAACTCCTGTCCGTTCTCATCCTCCCTTCTTTACTCAGCGGGAGTGTGAGCAGGCCAAACTGAGGGAATATGAGGAGAAGTTAATTGTGACTGCTTGGTATAATAAGGTATGATGACACGCTTATAGCTTATAGTGCATGGTGTCAATTCAAGATGCTGTTACTTATTTAGTTTAATTAAATATTCTGTAAGCTATTTATTTGTTAAAGATTCTGCAAGCTATTTACTTATTTGTTTATTCTAATTAAAGATGCTTTTTTTGTCAGTTAAAGATGCTGCATTTAGTCATCAATTAAATATGGTATTTATTTATTTATCTGTCAATTATTGATGCTGTACTTTTGTTATTTAATTATGTCAGTTAAAGATGCTGCAAGCTATTTATTTTTAGTCAATAGAGAATGCTGTAATATTTATTTAAATAGAAAAAAAGAATAAAATGTTCCTATTATCTGATTGTTAAAACTGAATTAGTTGTCTAGCTGTATACTCTGTAAAGTTTAAAAGAAAAAAACTTTAAGCATTTTATTGTTTTCTTAATTGTCACCTTGTTGAAAAATCAACAGTGATTTGCTTTGTGTTCACAATATTTTATTTTATTGAATTTGTTTTGTCATATTGTGCAAAACGTATAGAGTTTGAATTTCCAGAAGATGGCAATCGAGGCACGGCTTAGCGGGCGATCCAACTCTATATTGCCGCCCGGCCAGTCCTTCCTGGCTCAGCAACGTCAGGTGACCAACGCCCGGCGCACCATGTCAATCAACGTGCCTGCCCCTTCTTCCAAGTAACCTTGTCCTGAGTACCTCCCCAACTTCCTGCTCTTCTCCTCCTTCCCCTCACACGTACACTCAAGTGACCTTAAGTACACTTCTAAACAAGGGGACAAGCATGCCATTATGAACATTAGCTGTCCCCATGTGCTCACTCTCTATGGTTACACATGTATAATAATGTACATAAGGGGCTGAACTCTGATGAAAGTTACTCAATCAGCACACTATGACATACAGTAGTAGTCCTTTTCACTTTCAGTACTAAACAAGCACCTGTAACAGTCTGCAGCAGGGTCATTTCTGAACCAGCATCCATACTAAAGGTCACAGGTCCATCCTTGTCAGGCTTACTCAGATTGTGCAGTAACAAATGCATTCAATGCGTCCTGTAATGGTAGCATGCATGCTTTTGCTAGAAATGACTTCCAACTATACACTATGCAGCCATGGAATATATTTGTAATCACGTAGGTATGTCTTATAAAACATTGAAAGTATATGCAGACTACACATTTTGGCCTAACCAATCAAAATATGTAGATCAGGATGATGATGTATTTGGTGCTGGACACCAGATTTCTTAGTTTGTTCCTATTACAATGACTTTCTCAAACAACATTAAAAAAGACATGCATTTAATCAATCTAACTGATTAAATCTGAATCCAGGTGCTTCGTTCAGCCGGTTATGGTATTTTATATTCAGTTGACTGTGATAGGACTCTTGC